GAGCACGTAAAGACAAGGAGGTTATTGAAGACTGAAAGAGCCGAGGCCAGAACATACACAACCGTGGCTGCCCATTCTCCGTGCTTTTCCCACCGGGCCTGCACTGTCTATAAACCCGTCCATGGAATAGCCCCATTTGTATTTTTCTGTGTCACTACAGACTGAATTCTAGAAATGCTTTTGTAAGAATTTTGTTTACAAGTGGAACAGTACTGAGACAGAAATATGACGATCCCTGGGGACTGGTGCGGCTAAATATCAGTTTGAAAGAATAGTTTAGACAAAGAATAAGAGAGGAAATGCTAGTGACATGAGCTCATTGTCTACTCACAGAAGAAGTTACATTTAAGATTCAGTAACTTTTCCTTTTACTCAGCCTGGCACTGGAGATTTGCCCTTCAGCATCACACAGATCTCCACCCTGTGGGGATGTCTCTGACAGGAAATTTTATGTTTGTTACTTCTCTCAGAGAAAGTTCTATTTCATGTTTCAAGTCTACAAATACAAGTTTCTTCCCAATCATATCTTCATTGTGTCTCATGACTCCTGACATGGGTAATAGTAGCTCATTTCACAGAAATGGTTTCCACAGCTCTCTGCCACAATCTGATTCTTTCTTCTTCTTGTCTGTTTGCTCCTTGAGGCAGCCTCACTATGTAATCCACAGAGATCTGAACTCTGTGTTCCTCCTGTCCTGCCTCACAAATGCTAGGGTGACAGACCTGTACCACCACACCCAGCGTTCTCTTTTAATGTGGCAGAGTCATCTGTCCGTTTTTCACAAAAAGAGCAGTTGGTTTTTTCTGCTCTTTCCAAGGATGTTGTATTTAAAGGGTCTCTTCTTCCCAACTATATGACTTCAGGGAATCAACATTGATAGTGGGAAATAAAATAACTACACCAAGTGATAAAAATCCTCTCCTAAAGTTGATATTAATATCACAGTATTTTATTAGCTCCCGTGTTTGCAAAGATATCTCTCTCTCTATATATATATATATCTATATCTATATCAATTATAATTATATTAGAGAAATTTCCCATAGTCTCAATAAGCATATCCTATGTAGAATAAAAGTTCTTTTTCATAATGGATTTTGCTTGGCTCCAAAAGTCATCTTAATCCCAAATATTACTACTAATCAGAGAAAAACTAGCATTTTCATTAATGTATCCCATTGTTCATGCTAAGATTTTTTTCCATAGAAAATTCTGCTGAGTACCCATTTTTAGCATGTTAGTACCGATGAACACGATAGTTACATCCAGGACCTCAACATGGGACAAAGGGGAACATCCATTACACAGCAAATTGAAAATGTCCAGATAGAGTAGACCAGGAGAAGAAATGAGACTGACAATGCATTGGGGATTTGCACGAGAATGAGAGGTAAGCTGCCAAAGGGGACCATTGCTGGAGCACAGCTACTCTTCCCTTCTTTTGGGGGGCTGTGTGTCATTACTTCCTTCTCCAGCATTCTTACTGGTTTACTTTGTCCTCAGAGGTCTGCATTGTCACTAGTTGCTTAGCATTAACACATTGAGTTATAAGGCTAAATTGTATGTTGTGAGGTTATGCTAAAGTTGTAAGGCCCCTCTAAAATAAATGAGCATTAGAATAATAAATACATTTGAAGGCAAAAAACCTAGTGGGCTGGCACTCAAAATTTGTTACAGAATGAATGCATTAGGGTTGCATGCAAGATGTGGAAGATGAAAGAAAGGGGATTTAAGACAAACAGAGACAGGGCATCTTGTTGCTTATACCTCTGCAAAAAAGCAATTTCCAAGAAACAGTAGAAGAAGTGTGTGTGTGTGTGTGTGTGTGTGTGTGTGTGTGTGTGTGTGTGTGTGTGTGTGTGTACAGAAAGTGGGAAGATGAAAAGGAAGGACCTTTAATAAGCTAGTTCAAACAGTTATTGAACCTCAGAAACTCCAAAAGCTGTAAGCTAGGCCAGTTGAGTTTATGCACAGTCTCCTACTCTCTCCCTTCAGCAGATCAATAGTCTCCCCTAGGCTTTTAGGGACCACAACTCAAGACAAACCAAGATTCATGGCTTTGACAATGAAAATAATTTCAGTAGTAGCCAGTTCATAAAACAGAGTTGGGATTTAATAAAGGAACCCTAGCATAGACTTAAGCACAGGGTTAAGATAGGAAAAAAAATCAGAAGAATGTAAGACACACCCCAGAGAGCAGACTTAGGCTTCTCAGGAGTCACGTGACTGTCTTTTGCTACTTGTCATATAGAGCATTTTGGTAGGATTTGGAGTCCCCATCTTCAAAGCCTTGATAAGAAATGTAAATGAGAGCAGGGAAGTGGTGGCACACCCCTTTAATGCCAGCACTTGAGAGGCAGGGGCAGGCAAATCTCTGGGAGTTCGAGGTCAGCCTTGTCTACAGAGTGAGTTCTAGAACAGGCAAGGCTACACAGATAAACCCTGTCTCAACAAACAAACAAACAAAAAGAAATTTAAATGAGGTTCCTAGGGGCATGCTTGAGAGGCACCAAAGAGGATTCTGAATGCTGAGGCAAAAGTCTAGTCTCTGCAGTACTAGGAAGGAGGACATTTTTAGTTAACCAAAGATAACAGCTTGTCTGATAGTGTCAGGAAGTGTCTGGGGGGGAAGGAAGGAGGCTCTAATCAAGGTCATGTACATTCAAGTTTTAAGTCCGGGTCATTGCTTCTTTTACACAGACTGTCTATCTATGAACCGAATATCAATTTTATTCCAGTAGCCTTTGAAACAAATGTTGACTATGCTGGAAGTTTTGCTTAGCTAGCGAGGCCTTTAAGGAGACTCTGGGATGAGATGCTCCTTTCCCCTCTCATGCGCATCAAATTTCTTTTTGTTTCAATTCTTCCCTAGTCTTGAGTCTAGGAAAGAATGAAAAATTGAATTCAGTTATAAGCTGCCAACCTGCTAGTCTGGCAGGGTACATTTTGCTTGTGTAGTCAGTTTATTTGCTTCAAGACCCTCATCTATCTGAATGACCCCTAGACATATTATGAAGAATAGTCTACCTACTCAAAATGTACTCATTGAACTATTCATCTTAATTTTGAAACTCCTCCACAGAAACTCTGAGAATAACATCTGACTAAATGTATGATTACTGTGGCCTAAGGAATATGATACAAATTTGTCTATCCTATATGTGGCAGACACAATGAAAGCCTTGGACACTGTCATTTGCCTTATGGGCTTTTACAGGTTCTTTGAAATTGTCTTCTCTAAACAGGATTTACTTCACTGGGGCTACAAGGAAACCAAAAACAAGAGAAAACCTGACACCAATGTCTCAATTTTGCCTTTGTCTCCTTATTTGGGGCCTCTTGTTTGCCTGTGTGTGTAAGACATGCTAATCTCTCAAGGAGTATCTGTTTAAGCAACTATGACATGTCACATATCTCATTTCCTTTTAAGGCTGAAGGTAAAGTGCTGTTGTCCTAAGCCTGCTGTCACCATGGATTCCAAGAAGAGCATGATTTCACAGACAGGACAGATCATCTTCATGATGACAATCTCTATGATGGAGATGCTACTCCCTAGAGCAGATCATCTTGCAAGAACCAGGTTTGTCCCTCAAGTGTGACATCATTTAACAGACCCAAACCAGCAGGACTCAGCCTATAGGGAGCACAAAGGTCCTTGACCTCACTGAAAAGCACTATGGAAACCAGGAATGTTAAACATGCAGGAATGTCTTTCCAATGAAGAGAGAGCTTGCTTTTCCACCAGAGGGCTGGGAATGGAGGTGGTTGATAACCTGGTGATCATAAGTCTGCTCCCACAAGCAGAACCAGAGGTGGCTAACAGTCAAGGTGACCTTTGTGTTATTTGTATGGTCAGGGGCTTCCCTAATATCCCAAATCAAGACTAGAGATAGCTAATAGCCCAAATGACTTCTTTACTATCTGTATGACTGAAACCACAGCAGATCCTCTCCTAGGCCCTTAAGATCATACTTGTAACTGATCTCCAGAATCCACTTGGAAGAAGTGACACATACTCTGAGAAGAGTTTCAATATAATTATGCCTCCTTGTGCACAGGGGATTGTGTTACACAGGGAAAATTTCCCCCAAATTTTACTATACTTAATTATGTTTACAACAAATTGCCTTGTGTCAGACTCTAGAAGTTTGAGCCAACATTGGCTACTGAGCTATGTTGAACTAGATTTCCTTCTTGCCATACATGGATTGTCACTCAGCTGGACCTGGTGGTCACAGAGACCTACACACATGCCCTGAAAAGAACTTCTTAATTATGCCCCAATTCCTCCTGTTTAGTCACTAATTTATTTTTATTCTCACTTTATAACCCTAGTTAACCTGAACTCATTGTAGAGTATAGGCTTAAATTCATGGCACTCTTCCTACCTCAGGCTTCTAATCTCAGCACTTACTAGGATTATGGCATCCCAGAAGAAAACATGGTCTAAATCTCATATCAATACTATGAAGATGAGTGTGGTATTACCAGACTCTCTCATTTGTTTATCACACAAGTGCATTTAATGACATGTCCTTTCTTGACCTTTTACCCATACTTGTCTCTTTAACTGGAATATTGGAACCAGTGACAGAATTTAGCCTTGTGAGGTGACTTAACCAAGTTATTTGAACTAAAATTTGGATCATGCTTACATGTTAGAGATGATGATGATGATGATGATGATGATGATGATGCTAGTGGTGACAACTTTTAGTTTCTGAAATCATCCAGAGTGAGAAAGTTGGGTAATGACAAAAATAAGGTCCTAGCAATCTTTCCAAAGGAAGCGGTAGTGGCCACCATTCTTTTAATGAAAAATTGAGAAGTAGAAGTAATAAACCTACCACAAGACCCAGCAACTCCACTCTTAGGCATATATCCAAAAGATGCCCATTCATACAACAAAGATGTCTGTTCCACTATGTTCATAGCAGCTTTATTTGTAATAGCCAGAACTTGGAAGCAACCTAGATGTCCCTCAACTGAAGAGTGGATAGAGAAAATGTGGTACATTTACACAATGGAGTACTATTCAGCAGAAAAAAACAATGGAATCATGAGATTCGCAGGCAAATGGATGACACTAGAAGAAACCATCCTGAGTGAGGTAACCCAGTCACAAAAAGAGAAACATGGCATGTACTTTCTCATATATGGATTATAGACATAGATCTGGGGAGTGCCAGCCTACAATCCTATAGACAGAGTCTGGGAAACAGAAACTTCATTTAGTGGCTGATCAAAAAAGAGGCAGACTCCCTTGGTTAAGTACTGAGCTGAACTCAAGAAAGCCAGTAACAGAGAGGGAGGATTGATGATCAAAGGGATTAAGACTGGGCTGGTTTAACCCCCAGAAACAGCTGACCAGACAGAAGTTAACTCTTGAATCCCAGGCATCAGCCTGGGAAACCAGCACGGGACTGATCAAGACCCCTGAATCTGGGTGTCAGTGAGGAGGCCTAGGTAATCTATTGAGCCTTGGGCAGCAGATCAGTACCCATCCCAAGTATACACACGGACTTTGGACTCTCATAGAACAATGTGAGGTGCACTCTCACCCTGAACTCTTGGGGAAGGGTCTAGGACCTGCCCTATATGAAATGACAGACTATGGACACCCCCATGGAGGGCCTCACCCTCCCTGGGGGAATGAGGGGATAACGGGGGGGGCTGGGAGGAGGGCACGGGAGTAGGGGAGGGAAAGGGAGAGGGATCTGGAACTGACTAGTGAAGCAACCTTGTTTCTTATCTAAATTTAAACTGGAAAAAAAGTCAAAAAAATAAATGAATATAGACATTTAATATTTAAAGGCATATTTTGACTTCAGGAGGTATTTGTAATTTGTAAATGTGTTCACTTAAACTCGAAATTTGTCTTTATTTGTTCTCTTCATGTTTTAGGTTTGCACAGAAACAAATCAGAAAATATTTCTGGAACAGTGCTTCTAAAATGATGACTGCTTTTAGTGTTTCAGATATTAAGTTGAATTGGATAATCAAAGTCATTGTGTATAAGATATTAGCAACCTAAGAAACTATGGGACTATAGTCTTGACCCATCCTTTGGAATACAGGAAACCATAAACAATTTAACAATGCTTGGTTCTTTCATTTGTAAATTACAAGTGACAGAATTACCTCCACAAAGAGCTACAAAGATTGTGAGAAGCTGTTCAATGTCCTGATACTGTTGTCTTTTTCTTTTGGCAGGGCTTTCTCCTCCTTTTCTTACATATGTTATTATTTTGAATAATGCATCATTTGGCTTCTAAGATGATGGCAGTTAGTAACAACAGTAAGAATAGTTCATATGCATAATGTCTAAGTCTGTGTTATTGCAAAACAATACTTCATGCCTAACCTTAAGCCAAGTAACTAAAACCAAGTAAGTTGAATTTTCCTCATTTGTAATATTAACGACAGAGTAAATATGCAGGCTCTGAAAAATATGTCTCTCTTAAATATTATCTTTTAATTAGTTTTGTACTGAAATTTAACAATGCTTAAGAAATGAAAGAATTAATGAAATGCATTATTCTCAAAGATTATAGTTTTCTGAATATAATGATTGTCTAAAAACTAAACACAGCATGAAGAAGCTGTAAAAAAAAAAGAAGTTATCACTATGTGACATCTGTCCTG